CCATAGTCTTACTCTGCATGAACATAGGGGTCTGGAATAAGCCACAGTGATGTTACGAACTCAGTGGTGTTGCGATGCACGTGTAGTCACTCACCCCTTTTTCGGATGCCCATATGCATGGTAAGTTTTTTTTTCAAAGCTTTCCTATACTATGGAATCACAAATCCATATACATTTTTTTCTCTTAACTTATATTTCTTCAAGTATTCTTGTATAATAAGGAAGGGGTTTTTTTTATAAGTGTTGTTTTATGTGTTTCACACTCAGCTCAAAGTTGGTTTAATCAGATGGTTTTATCTGACCTCAGTTAATTGAAAAAGGAAAAATAATGAGATGTAGCATGTCTTAAGATCTAAATAGTAGATATGATTGTTAATCATTCAGTATTTTGATTTTCTATTCCTAACCTTCTTGGCATTGAGCCATGAAAGAGTCCATGAAGTTCTACAGCAGTTGAAACTAATGGATGTGAGTGAAAGGGAATATAAGAGTCTACGATATCATCCCCGTACAGTTATCCAATTGTACTACAAACAATAATTTCATACTGTTCATACAAAAATAATTGCATGCTGTTTGTGATAAACTGAAGTTATTTGTTGGGCTCATGGCCAACAATGATACTGAATGACATTATCACACAAACAACATAGGCAATTATGTTGTGATGTCTGATGTAAGTAAATAAGTCACATCATTTGTGTGATGATGGCAAGATGCACCTGTCATCCTCCCATTTCATACATTTTGCTAATCTGAAATGTTATTTGTTTGGTTTTGCCTTAGCATATTGAATGGGTTTAATTGTTGTGATTTGGAAACCAGGAACACACAGCTTTTCTGGGCCAAGGCTGTACATGCACTGTATTGTGGGAGTCACATTCCAGAATATGGTGCATGAGGCTGGGAAAACAACAAAATCTAAACTGTATTTCATCTGACTTACAACTAATTAACATTAAATATAATTAATGTAATTTCTTTCCAGTCATCTTTTTAATAATTTCCCTTGACTGTTAGTTCTTTCCACAGCTCATCTTTGCCACTGTCAAATTTATCTTAAGCAACATATAAGACACAAGCATGTTAGATTCCTAAAATGCACTTTAGAAATATACATGAATAAGAGATTTCTACATTGTTCCTGCTCTCCTGAGCCTCTTTCTCAATTACACTATATGAAGGAAAATTCTTCCAGAGGAGAAGAATCTGTACCTCTGCAGAGGTTGCTGAACCACAACTCCCAGCATTCCTTACCATATGCCAGGCTGGCTGGGACTGTTGGAAGTTATAGTCTGCAACATCAGGAATATCATGGGTTTCTTCCCTCCCTTTAGCCCTGTAGTTTTCAGAAGTACAGAAACTGGAAGAAGAGAGAGGGAGCCTAGCCTCTTAGAGAAGAAAGAGATCTATCAACCACAAGAGGGCCCTGCTTTGAGGCCAACCACGGGAAAGGAGGTCTTCTCTTTTTCTCTTTCATTCTTTTCTCCTGCCAGGATGTGGAATTGAGCTTCCTGGATTTTGCAGCTGGTTTCCCTAAGCCCCCCTCTTTTATCCTAGCTCCCTGCAAGGGAGAGAGGGGGGCTTTCTAATCGTCCATCACCATTCCCATGCAGGCGCCAGACGCTGTAGTCTGTGCCTAACTGCAGGTAAACGTTCTGAAACAATGTGGGGGGTGAGAGAGATGCCTACAACAATCCGGCCTCTTCTGTCCCTTCCTATCCTGGCTGCCTCCCCCTCCCAGCGCAAGGTCCGATGCTCAAGGAGGAAACAATGGAGGCTGTGTGGGACGTAGATGGACTTGGGATGAGGGTAGGATTGCAGTGCAGTCCTGCCCTGTTTTTTTGCCTGGACTTTCAGAACTGCATGCAGACCTTGGGCTGGGACTGCCCAGAGGAAGGGGCAATACTGCAATAAAATGTGAGAATGGGTTACTTTGATGGAGGAAGGGGAAAAGGAGGAGGGTCCAGCGTCAATTGCTTTTGTAACCTTTTCATCTACCTGAGCCCACCTTCTTCACAGATATATACTGTATCCGCTCCCACATGTCAACCTCCACATAATTTCTGTCTCCTTCCTGTGCCAAAGCGTTGTGAGCCGCCCAGGGTTATGCTGCATAAGATGGGCAGCTATAAAAATCTTTTAAATAAATAAGTAACTTAAAGAGTTCTTGGTGCCACCTGTGATGTGCCTATCCATGGTGTATGTGTTTTATCCCATATTGTGGAGTAGTTTGTTTCCATAGGATCATAATGTATCCTGAAGCTTCACAGATGCATTTGGGAGATGTTTATTATGGGTATTTGAAGTGAACTCCTTGTATATTTGAAAAAGCGGGTTCTAATCTATGAAAGCTGTATGGCATGCCATCTCTTATTTCTTCGTAAATGCCTAGAGTTTTTCTCCACCAGAAAGTTAAATTTTAGCTGTTAAGATGTAACGAATGATACAAATATCATTAGGAATAAGAACATATTTTTAGTACAGAGGGATTAAGGACTGTTTGTCTAATTAAGAAACAAGCCCAGGTTTGCCACTATATATACTGTACCTCTAAGGAGAAGCTGCAGTCCGTCCCAGATCTGGCACTGTCATACTTGTGTGATATGATCATTTTTAAATATGTTTGTCACATCCACAATTTACATTAAAAATGTATTTTTAAAAGTATATATACTAAAAGTATACATATATATGCTGCTATACACATGTTTCGGGCAAGCAACTTATTTCCTATAGTTTGTATTCAACTGTGTTGCTCTTTCCTTTTGTTTTTCTAAGAACTGGGATCTGCAGTTCTCAGAGGGCAGAAAAAGCATTCCCCAGGTTACTGCCTTCAAAATGTATTTAGATTGCAGCTCCAATTAATCCACTGGCTAAGAGGGTTTTATATATTCCAGCACAGGTGAAGGACACCAGGTTCAAGATGGCTGTTTTAAACCTAGTATGGTTGGGAGGAAACCCTGATTTGTGCAACGTGTGAAAACAGCATCATGGTAGAATATGTAATACGTGGGCCTGCATATCTAAGAGCATGGGTGTGCATCTGTTCTCTCTCTTTCCCATACAAACACCCACACATGTACATAGTTCATCCTTTCCATTTCTCAGGGACTAGAAGTCCGTAATGAGAGAATATAATCTTCAATCTTATGCAAAGCCCAAGCCAGTTCCTCTTCCTTAAATGTCCTCAAGCAGTCCCCAAGTGTGATACAATTTGCCCCCAAGCAATATTTTCTCTTAATGTCCTGCTTTTTGCTTCCCACACTTCCCATGTAACCATGACTATATAGATCTGATTGCCAGGATGTCCTGTGACAAACAGATTTTGCAACTGTTTTTTATTTGATTTAAATGCTCTCAGCAGCCTCTTGAAAGAGAGGGAGAGACGTCTTCAAGAACTTTAGAAAGGAAGTTCTTCTGTGGACCAACATGCAGGAGAGCTACGAAACAGTGATCTCATTGGGTAAGGGATCCCATTTCTTCAAATTTCAGTGCTAGACTGGAACTTTACTCTCAGCTGCCTGTTCTTATAGCAAGCAGGGAAAGTATTAATATCATTTCAGTTATAAGTAAAATTGAAGCCAAGTAAAACCTATTCAGGAAAGATTTCAGAGAATACATAGTTAAATCTTTATTGAAAACTTGCAGTAATGGGTCTGATGGATCCACGTAGCAATATGACTGATAAGTGTTATCTCTTGTAATAGCCAATAGAAAGGCAAGTAAAAATTTGTGTAAAGGTACCAAATTCAAGCCAAATTCCAGGCCTGCCACTTCATGCATGTGCCTGAGGCTTTTAGCGCAATAGCATATTCTTTAAATTCCAGACTAGTCAGTTTCTCAGTATGATTGAGGCAGGATTGTACTGAGTAAGATGGAGGAATTGTTCTTCTTAAACAATCACATTTACAAGCTACTAAAGCAAAATAAATAAAGCACTTGAATGGAGAGTTCAAAATGTGCTGCTGTCAGGAATCACTTTCTGTGTCTGGATATCTATGGAAGAATCCTGCATGTGGCATCCTGTGGGGTTAACATAGACCAGTTTCTCTGTGGAATAGACCTCATGGACACTGTACTCAAGAAAAGCATAAATTCAAACTTCCCAACAGCTGCTTGTTGCAGGGGAGAAGATAACTAGTATAGGGCAAAAAAGATAATAGGTGCAAAGCGTTGATTCTTCTGGAGCTGCATTTCCAGCACTAACTTTCAGAGAATGCTAATTGTTCTTACTGAGGAAATCCAAATACAGTAAGCTGTCAGTACACTTCAGATGTTCTCAGAACACAGTTTTAAGCCTGCTCAGCAAAATACAAAATACTGAACATCTTGAAACTCTCCAAAAGTCATTTCTCTACATACACATACACACACAAACACACGAAACAAACATTTAATGGTCTTTGCCTAGTTTAGTCTCATCCAACCTTCCCTGACCTGATGCCATCTAGATGCCTTCAACTTCAACTTCCAGAATCCTTAGCCAGCTACCAGAGTAGTTGAAGTCTACCATATTTTGAGAGTACAATGATGAAGAAAAAGGCTGATTTTTTTCTTTTGTCAAAATCCAGTTTGGCGTTATTAATGGTCTTTGCCTAGTTTAGTCTCATCCAACCTTCCCTGACCTGATGCCATCTAGATGCCTTCAACTTCAACTTCCAGAATCCTTAGCCATCTACCAGAGTAGTTGAAGTTACCATATTTTGAGAGTACAATGATGAAGAAAAAGGCTGATTTTTTTCTTTTGTCAAAATCCAGTTTGGCGTTATTAATGTGTTTTCTGCTTTCTTTTTTTAGCAGAAGAAATCGCCATAAGTTGGCCCCGGATAACTGCCTTTACAGAGACTCGAGGACGCCGAGG